CCTTCATCCCTGCCTCTTTAGTCTCCTCTAAAATGCTTCACATATCTGGGGGACAGTCCTCAGACCTTATGAAATCCACTCTCTGTGAGGCTCCATTCCTAGCACAGCTAGAAATGTGATCTTGTAACTGGTTTGAGGTGGTTGCTGGTTAAGTTCAGCATTAATTAGTGAGACCTCATCACTCAGCTCTTCCATGTGACTGATTAGCAATAAAATAAACCTGTATAATACAGAAAGGTCAGACATTACGGCTGTGTCTAGACTGGCCAGGTTTTTTGGAAAATCAGCCGCTTTTCCAGAAAAACTTGCCAGCTGTCTACACTGGCCGCTTGAATTTCCGCAAAAGCAATGACTTCCTACTGTAAGAAATCAGTGCTTCTTGCGGAAATACTATTCTGCTCCCTTTCAGGCAAAAGTCCCTTTTGCACAAAAGCTTTGCACAAAAGGGCCAGTGTAGACAGCTCAGATTTGTTTTCCGCAAAACAGCCCCGATTGCGAAAATGGCGATCGGGGCTTTTTTGCGCAAAACCGCGTCTAGATTGGCACAGACGCTTTTCCGCAAAAAGTGCTTTTGCGGAAAAGCGTCCATGCCAATCTAGACGCTCTGTTCTGACAATGCTTTTAATGCAAAACTTTTCCGTTAAAAGCATTTCCAGGAAATCATGCCAATCTAGATGCAGCCTACCACTATAGAGAACACTATTCCAGGGACTGTCGCTTACATGAAGAATGGGAAGTGACTATCTAAGGAGTACTACAGAAAGGGATGTAGGGGCCATATGGCCCATAGTGGACCACAAGCTAAATACGAGTCAACAGTGTGATGCTGTTGCAAAAAAAAAGCAAACATGATTCTGGGATGCATTAACAGGTGTGTTGTGAGCAAGACACGAGAAGTCATTCTTCCACTCTACTCTGCACTGGTTAGGCCTCAGTTGGAGTATTGTGTCCAGTTCTGGGCACCGCATTTCAAGAAAGAGGTGGACACGCCGGAGAAAGTCCAGAGAAGAGCAACAAAAAGGATTAAAGGTCTAGAAAACATGAGCTGTGAGGGAAGGCTGAAGGAATTGGGCTTGGTTAGTTTGGAAAAGACAAGACTGAGCAGGGGCATGATAGCGGTTTTCAGGTATTTAGAAGGGCGTCACAGGATGGGGGGGGGGGCAGGAATTGTTCTCCTTGGCCTCTGAGGATAGAACAAGAAGCAAGGGGCTTAAACTGCAGCAAGGGAGGTTTAGCTTGGACATGAGGAAAAAGTTCCTAACTGTCAAGGTGGGGAAACACTGGAATAAGTTGCCCAAGGAGGTTGTGGAATCTTCGTCACTGGAGATATTTAAGAGCAGGTTAGACAGACACCTGTCAGGAATGATCTAGATCAGTGGTTCCCATTTTAATTTTCACAGGGATGTGTGTCCTCAAAAAGGTTGGGAACCACTGATCTAGATGGTGCTTGGTCCTGCTGTGAGGGCAGGGGGCTGGATTTGAATATCTCTCGAGGTCCCTTCGAGTTCTAGTGTTCTATGATTCTAAGAAGCAATGGGCTCAAATTGCAGCAAGGGAGATTTAGGATGGACATTAGGAAAACTTCCTAGCTGTCTAGGTGATTGAGCACTGGGATAAATTGCCTAAGGAGCTTGTGGTATCTCCAACACTGGAAATATTTCAGAGCAGGCTAGACAGACATCTATCAGGGATAGTGTATATCATGGGTACCCAAACTGGGGGGACATGCCCCCTTAGGGGGGCATGAAGACATTCCAGGGCTGGGGGGGGGGAAGGGGATCCAGGCTCC